TGATTAAACTCAATTTTCACATTTATCTCTCCGTTTCCACTCTTATACCCTTTTCAATCACCTAATCTCGATTCTACTAGATCTCCAGCATGCAAAATGTGCTATTTTCTACTCCGCTCGGCCACCCGTAATTGCCCGAAATAATGTAATTTTCCGAGCTTTAGCCTTCGCAGCGCTCGATTTTCGCGATTTTTAGATGCAGAATCAGCATTATGCTGTTATAAAGAGAATTTCGACTCTAGAAGTTCATTCCGCCTTTGTAACCGTATTGTTTCTGAATTACGGAATTATGGCAAGGAGCCGGGCGTGTCGGGGGTTGAGCAGGAAGGCCCTGAAATCCGAGCTGAACTCTCACCCGCCTGGCTGCTTCTTTCCCGGCGACTTTTGCACTCGATTTCCTTCTCAACCATTTTTACATCAGCTTAACTAAAGCCTAGGCCCAAGCCTAAGCCTAAGCCCAAATATAAGCCTTTGACCAAAACTTGTAAGCCGAAACCAAGAGATAGGCCCGCCCAGGCTTTTCGCCAAAGCTTGATCCCAAAAGCTGACTCAACCGCTTGGCCAACTCCAGAGCTTTTGGCACACATGTGTATCTTGTCACACCGTTTTTCCGAAAGCTGTTTTCTTGCCTTGTGCCTCGCTTTCCGGGTCCATTCGCTTGCGGGCGAACGCCCAACGACTGGCCCAAGCTGTCGGCGTGAACTTTTATTTACCAGAAAATTTTGGCAGCGAAAGCTGGCCCTGATCACCAGTGCTTGTCAGGCCAAATTTATCGTCTGTTTTTGTTGACTTTGGGGTGGTGGATCACTTGGGAACGGCGTTGGGAAATTGTTCGAATCCTCTATTTTGTGTCTTCCCTCTATTTTTTAGGCTTAGGTTTAGGCTTAGGCGTAGACTTATGTTTAGGCTTATGCTTAGGCTTCAGACTAGGTTAAGGTTTGGACGTAGGCTTAGGCTTCAGCTTAGGCTGAGGCCCATTCTTAGGTTAGGCCTAGAATTAGGCTGCGCTTAAGGCTCTTAAATTCCGTTATTTCTAGTCTTTCAGAATTTCCGAACCCTCCAAAACTACCAAGGTCCGTATTACGCCAAACAACGGCACTTCTATCTTTCCGGCTACGCCAGAGCGTTCATGATTTTTCTCTTGACTGTGAGTTTTGAGCCTCCTGACGAACTTGGACCCAAACAAAAATAGCCGCCAAAATTGAGACGCGTGGGAATTTTGGGTTTGGGCGCTACCGCGTGCCTCCGCAATGCTAATATTGACACGGTGGGTGGATTTCACAGATTTCTCATCGTCCGGTCAACTAGTGATAACTGTGGGGGCTTTAAGTGTTTTTTGGGAGAACCGCCTACGCGAAAAACCTAGAGTTTGGCTGGTCGCCAGATCACGAAAAGACGGATGGAGTCGTTTTGACAGTTTTTGCCAGAGGCTGGGTTTAAGCCTATGAGCCTAAACCTACGCCCAAACCAGGCCTAGGCCCAATGGACCCCAAGGAACCCAAACCCAATGCCGTTCTATGCCAAAAACGTAGAACATCATTCCTTTGACTCACTGACGAACCCTTCTGAATTATGAACAACATGGGTTTGTGAATTATGGATGACGTTAAGCGACCACTGATCTAACTTTGTTTTTTTCTAGTTTTCGCTTTGCTTCTGGTCCCGGGAAACTGTATTTTATCTACTGTATAGAAAACAGCCTTGTCTATCCCCTTCTATAGTGCGTACTACGTAAGGCTACAAAATACGTGCGCATAGTGCGCACGGAGGATTATACAGTCTATGCTTTTGGATATAAAACTGCGCTATATATACCGTTACACTTTTTTCGCAGACCGGAAACGATTCGGACCGCTCCGAACGGCTCTGGGTCTAGAAACAAATTCTCAAATGGGACATTTGGTTCTTAAGAGCTTACTGTATGCCGTTTATTTTTGCGCTTCATCTTAACCACACGTTTCTATCCGACATTACGATGGTATCCCGGTTAAGGACCCTATTTTTCTGTAAAGCGGTTCTTAACGTAGTCGTTTCGGTAAACAATTCCCTATTCCACTGCGCTCTCCCGTGTATTCTGGGCCCTTGTCTAGTGCCCATGGTGGCGGGCGGATACCTCAAATAGCCCATGAGGCTCAAGGGATCGTGGTTGGGGCTCCCATTTTATATCTGTGCCACATGTTGCCATTTAGCCCCCCAATGAACCACAGTGTCGGCCAGGGCTACGAGGAAGTTTTTGCCCGGGGTCTAATGGGGCGCCTTTGATCTTAATTTGCAGAAAAAGGGTTTGATGGAAAGGGCTCAAAGCTAACAAATTGGTTCAGCCTACCAAGTTTCGATTGAAGCATCCGTTTTTATTACTTTTCATTTATTACGTCTTAAAGGGCTCGAGAGCGTAAGAATCTGGTCTTTACCTAGACAAGGTGTAGCCTTCTTCATCTGGCCAAGATCTGCAGGCTATGAGCACTTCACGTCGGCATTAAACGTGCTTTCACATGGTACGGAACGTTTGACACCTAGCTATTGATAGGATTCTACCTAAGGGTTTGTAAGCCCTAGAATCGACCCCCATTTCGCTTAGGTGTAGACAACCACGCTTAAGCGGCAATTGGCGTTCAACCGTGGCCATATTTTGCGCATTATTCACACGATTTAAGCCAAGGTCAGTCCTAAGTCAGACCAAAATGTTCTCAGCTGTATTACGTAGCCAATGAGAAGATGGATACCTTGAAAACAAAAATGGATTAGTTTTGCGAATACGGTTTATGCAGTTTTTAAATTCACCGCTGATAATTCGTTTCTGAGAAGAAAGGAAAAACAAGATGTTCCGATTTTTACGGTAGTTGATCATCAGGGTGAAAGTGCAAACTGCATACCATGGCAAATTTGCGTTTAAAACGAAACCTAGCGCCGGTAAAAATGTTCAGCATTTTTTATAAAACGTATATTTAGCCAAAATTCTGGCAGCAAACAAAAATTGGCTCAATGGCATGAACTTCACGAGCTTGAGCATAAGCTGCTATCCGACACGTGTCCTTTTTTGCCAATTCGTGCACTTCATGAAAACCATTAGATCCCGAAGTTCATCTCCATCCCATCAACCTTCTTTTCTGATCTTTGACGTCCCAACGTTGACCCCATTTCCTCATTCCGCCGCCGTTCCTCCATCATTCCTTCATCTTCGCGACAACGATCCCCTATTTTTTGTGTGTAAGCCCTCGTCTTCCTTATCCGCCACCCACCCCCCCATCGGACACTCCTCATTTATGCATTTCCCGGATGCATTTCTAATAGAAATAGACACAGGCGGGCAAGGCAACAGGGCTCGGTAATTTCCAAACCTTTCGCGACCCCGGGCGAATTCCGTGAAGTTACGCTCGCCCGAAAAATGGGGCCTATTTCGTGCCAAAGTGGGCTTTTTTACTTCGCATTTTTCAAGCAGTTTTCCGGATCCCCGACTGCCGTAATAGCCTTAATTTTCGGCTTACTTTTGTTTTGCCAGCCCTTTCAGAGCCGGGGTGTCCCCTTTGCAGCCATGGAAATTTGAAATTTGGAAATTTTTTGAGGCGCTGAAATGAAAAATGTCACAAAGCCTCAGCTTTACCCGGCATCCTGTTGCCAGGCAGTACAAAAAAAATAGACAAAAAGGCGCCTGGTCGAAATTTTTTAGCTATGGAAAAAGGCTAGTCTTTGCCTAGTGGTTTTGATTTCGATCTTGCTGGAATCGGCAAGGAACCTAAAACGGTTTTTGTTGCGATTTCGGTCATTTTACCTTATACCACCCGATGCTGAGTGCTCGCCTAAATTTTCATAGATTCTTTTTGCATATACATTCTTACATTTTTACAAAGCGAGAGATCGAAGAAACGTCGAGAGGAAGATATTGTCAAATCCTGGGCAGTGGACGCCTCATTGCATGGGGCAAGGTTCGAAGACTTATTGGGCAACATTTCCCAACAATGGCCTATTTCGACTATGATTTTCAGTAGTTGCATGCAAACTACGTCGGAATATCTTCGAATTAATTTTTGCAACGCGAGAGAGCTAGAGGAGAGAGAGGAGGGGGGGAGAGAGTAGAGAGAGAGAGAGAGAGAGAGCTAGAGAAAGGTGTCGCTGGGACCCACACCCTACTTATTCGTGTCTATTTGTTTTTCGCCAAATCAATTTTCGCACTTGCATTTACTGTTTAATCCCGGCCATAAGGTAAAATTCCTATGCACAAATTCAACTCTAAATCATCCTTTCCCCTCGAAAACATCAAAACCAGCCGAATTTCCGGTTCGATGTTTCCGGAAAATCTTGGCCGCAAGTTCCACCCAGCTTCCAAGAATTCGTGGAACGCTTCTAGCCCCGATGGTGGTTGTGAGAATTCGCGCATCTTTATTCAAGGATCATCGTTTCCACCTTCTCCTCCTTCACACCCCCAGGCTTCTTCCGCTCCTCAAATGGGCACTTCTCAGGGTGGGGGATACCCACGCGGCTCACGGCCCGGGCTCCAGTCTCATCTTTTATTTATGACAAATTGCGTTCCGATTCACTTTTGCAATCGGGGGGATGTCCGAAGGGGAGTAGAAGGTGAGCTTCTTCTCAAGGTTCGCCGGGAATTGTACTTTTGAATTTGCTTATGTGTTCTAGAGAGGATCGGGGCTGCTTAGGTCCCTAAAATGATTGGAAAAATCATTCCTTTCAGTTTTGTTTTATTGAATAAGTTTGAAAATGGAATCCTCGTTTGTCCTATTTTATAAAGAACTCATAAACCCTTTTAGCACTGCTTTTAAAAATTCATTTTCAATCAGCTAGCTGTTAGAGCTGTACGACTAAAGAATTCTTCAAACAATCTTGTTTTTTCTTAGAACTATTCTGACCTGACCGTTCATAATGATTTCGTATTTTCATTTTTGCAATGTTTAAGGTATTCTGATATATTGATTTCCTCTTTTCTATTTTCCTCAACGCCTTCGTGCCATTTTTCCATACCTAGATATTCAAATTTTTTTTCAGAAATGCGGCGAAATAGCGAGGAATTCGAGGAGCTGCTCGCGAAGGTCGTGTTGACGATTTCTGCTAGGTCGGTTGTCTAAATCGTACCCTAAAATTGTCACGTATACCCCGAATCTGCATCTAGCTTCGGGCACTTAGCGAACGTTCAAACGCTCAAAAATGCAGTGTTTTCGAGTTAGCCGAGGCCGGTAGCGATACTAGAATTTCGAAACCCAGGTGGAAAAGGGCCAAAAAGGGCAAGCTGACGCTAGAACTAGCAAATTTTTATCTGTCACGATTCCTTTAAACACTCTATTTTCAGGGATCTCCGAGACACTGACCTCGAAAGCGTATCTGACCCCTTTTGCGTGGTATCCGTGATGACGGTCGGCCCGATAACGACCAAAAAATGGAAGGAAATTGGGAGGACCGAGGTAACATTTGGGGCTTTTTGGGGAACTAACCCTGTCGCTACCAAGCAGCCGGATGAGGAGGACGAATTTCAGAAAAAGCTAAGGCTACAGCGCCGCGTTGGCCCGTGGCGTTACGTAGGGAAAACGGAGGTTCGAAAGTGTGTGCATACGGCCGCAAGCATCTTTAACAAAATCGTTTTTATTTTGCTAAAAATAGCGCAACCTCAAATTGTCTAGAAGCGGGATCTTAAAGGAATGGCAACAGTAAGGCGGAGAATGGGGAGAACGAGCCTGAGACTGAGTGTGAGAGAGGGAGAGAGAGAGAGAAAGCGAGGGAGATCGAGAGAGAGTTGGAGAGAGAGAGAGAGAGAAAGAGAGAGAAGAGGGAGAGAAAGAGAGGTTCCATTTTTAAGGATCAACTCCTCAATCCTAAATTTGGATAAGCACATTACTAAAAGTATTAAAAGATTTCGAAAACATTTTGAAAATTCAACATAACTTTGTTCATTGCCCCCATCCCCATACATCACTCACCAACAATTTCTTCCCCATCCCCGAACTTTGTTTTGTTATTGTCTCGAGCCTGGATTTTTTGGGGCGCTGACAATATTGTCATCTGCTTTTCGACAATTCCCAAATCGACAAATCCCCTAAATCCGTCAGCGGATTCCACGGAGAAAGTAATAATAAAAATGGTTAGAAATCCCGAACTGCGCCCAAAATCAGCTTAAACTATCGAAAATGGCATTGGAATCCGATATCCGATTGTTGATTGGTAGGCGAGAAAAAAAGAAGGAAATCAAATCCTGGTTTATCCAGAGATTTCGGATTTGTCGTTTTTGGAGGTAGCGATAACAAAAAATGCGTTATTTTGGGGTGGCAGGCTAAATTCAGGATTACGAGGCCGTAGAGCGGTGTAGGGAGGAAAGTACGTAGTCACCAGACACGTCGGTTTGCTCAAAACCTGAGACGCAGCTATTTACGATAAAACGTCACTCCACCAAAAATGAGCCAAAAAAATAAAGATTCAAATCCAAGAGTTAAAAAATTATTTTGTGTGTGCCATTCGCTAATAATGCTTATAGTCTTTTGATAGCTTCAGACCCATATCTTCGATTTTTAAGGTGATCAACAACTGCCTGAACCCCGACTGGGCCACGAAAATCGAGCTCACCTACGCGTTTGAGGAGCAGCAAAAGTTGCAGTTTGAAGTGTAAGTCTCAAAGTAAGCCAAAACCTAAGCTCAAGCCTAAGCCTGAGAAACCAAGCCTAAGTCTAGGTTTAAGCCTAAGCCTAAACCCAAGCCTAAGTTTATGCCCAAGTCAAAATTACTATGAAAAGCATTTTTTTCAGATTTGACTACGCCAAATCCGGAAAACCTACTCGACTCGGTGGAGCGAACGTTTTGCTTCACGAGATCGTTGGAGCGAAATATAATCGAGTGACCGTGCCTTTAATGTGAGAATTAATGTGTTTTTGTTGTCCCCAAGCTTTTCAGATTAAATTTTATGGCTTTTTTTATAGAGAAGAAGGGAAGCGATACGGTAGCATTACGGTAACAGCTGAAGAAATGGGTTCCGGGCGGCAGGAATCCGTTTATTTCATGTGCAGGTGGGTGCTCTAATTCAATTCACTTGAAAGCCTACGCTTTATAGCGGTAGAAAAGAAAAAGAGAAAGAGAAAGGGAGAGAAATGAGAGAGAGAGAAAGAGAGAAATTAAGAGAAAAAGAGAGAGCTGCTGGAGCTTAATTAAAACCAAAATTTTGGTTATTTTCAGCGCAACAAAACTCGACCGAAAAGACTTCCTCGGCAAGTGCGATCCATTCCTCAAGATTTCAAGGATAAACTGGGATAACACGTGAGTTCTTAAGAACCATCCACCGTATCCCATGCCCCCGCTGATTTCCTGCCATATATACCTTTTTTGATTTCCCGGCTACTACTCAACCCTTAGACTCTTAACCTCAACACTTATCAACTACTCAACACGTATCCACCCACAAACCGTAATTTCTGTCTTCCTGACCGGTTCCAAAAACACAGTTTTTGCGATCGAGGGTGGACGTCAGGCGTCACACGGGGATTATCGCACATTTGCATGTAGTTAAAACCGCGCAATATTAAAATCCAGGCATTTTTCAGAGTCGTTGATGCTTTGAGCCGGCTCAAGCTGCAAGCGAAAGTTTAGTCCGGGTTTATTCAGGGTTTTGATGTAAAGAAAAACCTTGGTGCGGTCAATTACAATAGTTGCTGTTACGAGGTGGTTATGGCTTGTGGTATATGGTATATATTTTGGGATAAGTTCCGCGTGAGTACCCAACGCGGGGCTACGCTACGTTAAGTTTAGCTGATGCCTAGTTCCCTGCTTCCCTAGACAGGACACGACGTAGTGCTACGTTGCGCTCCAAAAGGCAATGCTACGATGCACTATGAGATGTTACTTCAGATACGCCCGGTGGCTTTGACTAAGTTATGCTAAGTTACGCTACGATCCGCTATAATACGCTACGATACGCGACGATATGTGACAATACGCTGTGCTACACTACGATACTTTAGCTTGAAATCCCATGATCCTTGCCTAGTTTTTCACGCAACAGAAGACTTTAGATTCTGAACTATAATCTCAAGCCGATGATTTTCAGGCTACAACTCGCCTATCGTACCCGATACCGAGAACAAAACTTGAATCCGAAGTGGAAGCCATTTGAGGTGCACATTGATCAGTTATGCTATGGCGATAAGAATCGGTAAGTTGCAAATGGCTGGGCTCGTATGCTATTTTTCTCAAGGATTCGTCGTTTGCAAATATCCTAATAAGACATTTTTCTTGAACCCCCAAATTTCTAAGTCTTTACCAGACATGGCAATCGGCCGAGCCGCGCGGCTTTTTCGGCCGCAAAAACTAGAATGCGGCCGGGCCGCGCGGCTTGGCCGCACTTCCGGCGCGGCCGCGGCTTTTTTCCGTTTTGAGGCCGCACGGCGGCCAAGCCGCGCGGCTTTTTAAGGCCGCATCCAAATGAGTTTTGAGTACTTCCGGCACGTAAATCAGAGATGCAATGCGTATTTAGCCTGCTAGCGAGGAATAGCCATACTCGACAACCTTAATTTTCTCATTTCCATTCCCATTTGGCATGAAATTCGCGGTTTTTCGATATGTAAATGAGCCACTTCCGGTTTGCGGCTTGGCCGCAGCGGCCCGGCGGAGCCGCGATGAAAATGCGGCTCGGCCGCGAAGCCGCATTCCGGAAATAACTAATTACTGCGGCTCGTAGGGGGGCCGCGTTTTTTATGGCACTTAGGCCGTCGGCCCGGCCGCGCGGCTCGGCCGATCGGAATTGCCATGTCTGGTCTTTACGATATACTTTGTACTCAGAAACCCTGGAAAACAATATTTTTTCCCCATTACTGAACACATGACCTGGGGCCTTTTCCCAGGTCAGGTCAAAATTCGTATAGTCACATGGGCTGTTTTGTAAACAAATATGGTACGTACGAGTTGGTCTTGTTAATCCGGTGCTAGGATTCCAGATTTTACAGAGATCATCTTGATAGTAGTAAGCGAGAAATTAGAATATTTTTCACCCGCGAAAACAGCTTACCTAACATCTTCACTTTGAAAGTGATGCCTTAAATATGAGATTGATTTTCGCAACTGGTATTTGAAACATTTTCTCAAAAATATCTATAATAAGAACTATACAAGGTAAAAAAATTATACTTTAGCGGTTATATCAGCATAACAATTTATTTTCTTTTTATTTGAAGACAAAATTAAAAATTTTTATTTAAATTTACCAAGAATTTTCTCCATTCCAGACCCTTCCTGATCGAGTGCTACGACTGGGACCAGGATGGAAAGTGAGCTCCCAATTTTTCAAACTATGCAATGAGTTGCTATATTCCTAAATTTTTAATTTTCGATCCCTACCCAAAATAATTTGCCACCCACCTACCGTAACCCATTGACCAACCATTGCCAAATCTCCAAAATCTCCCATTTGCGTAGATGCACCAAAAATATTTGCGCATCCCATCCCACCCTCGCCGGATAATCCGGATACAATTCTGTATTTTCTGGCAGGAAATGCGAGTTTCGGGGGTAATTTCGTTAATGCATCCTTTCCACGAAGTCCACCTCTCCATTTTCGTGATGAATTTTTGGGCATCTACAGTAACCAAAAGAGTACCTTGATCTCAGCCTCTCTAAAATTTGAATGAAAATACCGCGAAATGGCCCGATGGCCGGAAAGTGCAGAAGATAGGGAGAATCTTGTAAATTTTGAAGATCATGGCTATTTACCGAATACACTGTTCGTACCTCCATTAAATATTTACCGTACAGTCAGTACAAAAAACTTTGTACCCTGTGAAATTCGGAAATCGCAAAGATATGGTATCGCTGGGTATGAAAAACAACAAGGGGGGGTGCGAATCGTTCTCTTATGCTTGTTTCGATGTTTTGAAGCAAGTTGGATAATACATAACCTCAGATATATAGATATACTAAAATGGCAAATCAGGTTTTGTAAAGTATAAAAGACTGGGCGCCTCAAAATTTTGTTTTTCAGCCACGATCTCGTCGGGTCTTGCACAACGACGGTGAATCGGTTGACTTCTGGGGACGATGTGTCGTTATCGGTAAGATTTTTAGAGATTTCTCGACCGCTTCCGTAAGCCTAAGCCTAAGTCTAAGCCGAAGCTTAAGCTAAGCCTAAGCCTAACCCAATCTAAGCCTAAGCCTAAGCCCAAGCCTAACCCTAGCCTACGCCTAAGCCTAAGCTTAAGCTTAAGCCCAAACCCAAACCGATTCCTTTTGTTTACCCTCACTCACCTCTGATGACTTGAAGTACGGAACTACAAGCCGATTTCGGGTATTTACAAGCAACAATCATTCCTAAAGCCGTGCGTGGTGTCTTGTAAAATTAATTGTCATGGCCCGGTATCCTACAATAAACAATCTGCCCGAAATTTGGGGGACAACAGCCCTTTTCAGATTGGGAATGCAATTCCTAAAATGTTATTTTGAGGGCAATGCTGCTTGGGCTGTGAACTGTGGAATAACATTTTAGGGAAATTAGGGCAAAATACAACGTTTAGGGGATCAAGAATCACTGCTCGGTGGCCTCTCGGACAAGCTCAAAATCCTAAAAAGCTTGTAATTTGATTTTTCCTTTTCCCCGCTGGTGCAGCGCTTTATAGCGTCAAAATTCCAAGGCGAATTCGGGTCGGATGCAAATGCTAAGGACCTAAAAAACTTAGAATTTATAAAAAAAGGATTCCATAAATACTCTTTTTCAGCTAATCCACGAAAAGAAGGCCCGAAAAAGCCGAAAATACGTCGACTCGGGGCAGCTGCACTTTCACAAAGTCTACTGCTGGCTCGACTTCACGTTTTTGGATTTTGTTCAGGGCGGGTGGGTATTCGGTATTTTTCACGCGGGCGCGATGACGCGGTGTAGTCGAAAAGATCGGGATGATTTCTTGGCAATGACTGGTGACATTGAATCCATTAGGCGGCCATTTATAGCCAGAAAAACATAATTGCGTGTTATGGTCCTGATCCCGAGGGAGGGAATTACAAAAGCGACGACGAGGGATTTAGCGAATTTTGTGGAATCACGTGAATTTCATGAAAAAGAGCGCTTTTTGTAGTCAGCTAGGAAATGACGACAAAAAAAGAAAAATGGAAAAAAAAAAAAAAAAAAATAAAGAAAAATTTTAATTTGGGGGAAAAAAAAGGGGGTTCAAAAAAGGAGTCGATGATGCTGTGACGTAAAGTAAGTAAAATCATGGAAAGGGTTTTCTATACTTTCGATTGATGGTTTTAATATTTATAATTTCTCTTGTTTTTCCAGTACGGAACTCGACTTCACCGTCGCGATCGATTTCTCCCTGTCGAATCTCCCATTAAATGACCCATCCTCGCTCCATCGGATAGGTCCCGGCACGGCCAACCAGTACGAGACAGCGATACGAGCTATCGGAGAGGTAGTGCATCTACAAGCTACTCCACGTTACAAACGCGATGTTCCCTACAAAGTTCTAGGATACGCAGAAGAAGCTCAAAAACTTTTTCGTATGCCTTAAACCTGCACTTTCCAAATCAAGCAATCCAAGATCTGTCTTTTTTTAATTCTGCCTATTTCAATATGCTTTCCTCCTGTTTCCAGATCTGCCAGTTCTACAACGCGAGCAAAGTTTTCAACGGGTTCGGCTTTGGGGCTAAGCTCCCGAAATCCGATCAGACGCTGTACAACTTTCCATTGGTAAGGTTTTTGACATTTACAAGGATTTCACTAGACGAACTTTGGGATCGCTTCATTAGAATAGGCATCGATAATTTTTGACAAACCCTGGAAAATCCCATTTTATATTCGTATTTCCAATGAAATCTGTCGTTTTCGACCATTTTTGGAAAACTTTGAAACTTGACCGCGTCCTCCTTGACCTAGAAAACCCCCGTTTTTATCGTTTCCAGTGAATCCCCGGTCGTGCAAATAATATTATTCAGGCGCCCCTCTTGATTTTTCAATAGGTGTAAACAGGGAATACCCTGTACCCCAGACAGCATTTTCTGGAAGCCATTATACCAGGCTTGGATTAACAACCAATCTGGACACCTCGCGATTAATTAGCCCCAATGGGGGGCAATGAATAGGCAAGAAAGGATGGGGATTAGTGGTAGGAGGACAATTGTGGGAATCTCGTTGTAAAAAGTAAGGATTGTGTTGTGTGGAGGTGGTGTTTTGCTCACCGTAGTTTTTTTACGGGGGTTCTGGAATTGTGGTTTGGCAGCGGCGAAATGTAGTATTGGAAGTTGGGAATCTCCAAAAACTTTTGTAGCTGAAAAACTTTTGCTGAAAATCTGTAGCTGGATATGGAAAAAAGGAAAATTGGACCCTGTGAAGCTAGTTCTACACGCCTAGGCCATGCTACGACTTGTATCGGTTTAGAGAAAGAGAGCGAGCGAGCGAGTGAGAGAGAGAGAGAGAGAGAGAGAGTGCGCGAAAGACAGTGAAAGTAGGAAGAGCTTCCTATAAAAAAAAGAGCGTACTGATTAAGGCGAGCTAGCAAACACCTTTTGAGAAAGCTATGAAAGCTTCGAGAACCTGTCTTTTCAGAATATCGAGACCGGCGAGCCACGATGTGATGGTGTCGATGGCTTGGTAAAGAGCTACCGCTCGGCATTACGACATGTAATTCTGTCCGGCCCTGCTGATTTTGCGCCCACGATAAGGTATTTTAAGGCGACCACTGCTAATTCACGTTTGTTCTCCAGGTTCGCAGCCCAAAGAGCAGCATCCCTACCCGCAAATGGCAGCAAATACTCCGTTTTGCTCATACTAACAAACGGGATCATTGCTGATATGGAGCGGACGAAGGAGCAGGTCGTTAAGGTAAGTGTATCTTAATTTTTCCATTTCTTTACGATTTATGGGTTTATTATTAGCACGTGCCCTCGTCAGAACTAAAGAAATTTCTTGGCTCCCTAGAATTTTCACATAAGACTTCAGGAAAAAGCCGGGCGGAGTTCATTTTTGAAAAATCTCACGCGAATCTACAGAGCACACAGTTAGTTCTAAAAAACAGGCTGCGTCGTGGCATCTTTAGCGTGCATAAAAAGCTAATATGAATTCTTAGGCTTTTCAGCGCTTCCCTAGCGTTTTTTTTTCATTAAGATCGAGAGCCTTGCTATTGTTTTCTCGGTTTTTGATGTCCATCCCCACACTCAAATTTTCACAACAAATTCTTTAGAAAAGCCAAGCTAATGAAGCTGGGCCGTGCATTTACGGCTTCTAGGGCCTTATACGAAAAACTTCTCTCTCTCTCTCTCTCTCTCTCTCCCCCTCTCTCTCGCTCTCTCTCTGTCTCCCTTTGCATTTCCGCGAAAACGTCTACACTCCACAATTCTGTCCAGTAATTAGCATCTCTGTCAGCACAACGTAAAGCTGCCATCGAGACGGGGTAATTGTGGATCCGGCTGAATTCCGCTGGAATCCGGTAGACACCTCTAGGCTTCGGGATCAAAGCAGAGAAAAAATTAGGGGCTAAAACTAGACAGGGGGGCCCCGAGAAAAAAACCCCCCGCCTTTTTTTTTTTTCCCAATTAAAAAAAACAAAAAAAACCAAAAAAAAAAAAATTTAAAAAAAAAATAATACCAAACCAAAATTAAAAAAAAAAAAAAAATATATAAAAACATAATTTACAACAAAAAAAAATAAAAAAAAAAAAATAATAAAAAAAAAAAAAATAAAAACAAAAAAAAAAATCAAAAAAAAAAAAAATAATAAAAAAAAAAAAAAAAAAAAAAAAAAAAAAAAAAAAAAAAAAAAAAAAAAAAAAAAAAAAAAAAAAAAAAAAAAAAAAAACCCAACCACAACCCCCCCCAATTAAAAAAAATTAAAAAAAAAAAAAAAAAAAAACAATTAATAAAAAAAAAAAAAAAAAAAAAAAAAAAAAAAAAAAAAAAAAAAAAAAAAAAAAAAAAAAAAAAAAAAAAAAAAAAAAAAAAAAAAAAAAAAAAAAAAAAAAAAAAAAAAAAAAAAAAAAAAAAAAAAAAAAAAAAAAAAAACAAAAAAAAAAAAAAAAAAAAAAAAAAAAAAAAAAAAAAAAAAAAAAAAAAAAAAAAACAAGAAAAAAAACACAAGCACCAAACAAAAACCAAAAAAAAAAAAAAAAAAAAAAAAAACAGACCCGATCGAAAACAGGAATCGCAAATTACCCTAATTGGGCACAAGCTTACGCAAAATGTACTGAGACGCAGTATCGGATTGTAAAAGCCTTTTCCGGTAATTTCGGGGTTGGCAGGCTCAACGATGCGTGGGGCTAGAAATAGATTCTGTGATTTGTGAGGTAACGAGGTTCTGCACATCTGCTAGGAAAAGAAGATCAGACGAAACGATGCAGAAACTCTCGGATCGCTTCATTTTAGGCTGAAGCTACGTTAGCTATAAAACAAAACCTGAAAATCGAAAATGCTTTCGACATGCTCTTCAACTCGATTTGAAGCTCAACCACGCAACAAATTTCTAACATTTCTAGATTGACTGACCCTTAAATTTGAATTTTCTCGCATTTTCCTACAACACGCGATAGACGCCACGGTACTGTATGGTACTGGATAACCCGCGAAACCTTGAAACAAAAGATTATTCTGGGATCCGGGCGAAAGTTTACGAGAAAAAGATACTGTAGTTTTGGAGGACACCACCTTTAATTTACAATTTCAGGCCTCCTCCCTCCCACTCTCCGTAATCATCGTCGGCGTCGGCTACGATTCTTTTGACGAGATGAAAGTCCTGGACTCCGACAACCAGCTCCTCTCCTGGCATGGCCGCTTTGCAAAACGGGACATTGTTCAGGTAATGTTTTCCCTTTTCGTCAGTATTTATAAATCCTGCGTAGTCATGAAATTTTTTTACTTCCACCGCCCCCATCCCACGACTTACCAGCACTTAGCAGAACATAACAAGGAAGTTGCCCCGTTCTTCTTGTATAATCCACTGGTTTTGCCCGTGGTACGGTACTGAGCCGGGGATTGACCGCATAAGAAAGATTACACATTTTTTTCTGGGGTTTTGTGGGAGCGTTGACCGTTTTGGAACGCACCCAGAAAATGCAGAGAAGCTCCAGGAGGCCGAAAATTTTCTAGAGTCAACCTTGTATTTTAAAAAATCAAATAAACGCACAAAATAAAGTTAAAGGTTGCAGTGAAAAAAATTTAAAACATGCGAATGTTGTAGTTTGTCCAAATGCGGAACTTCTTGCCCCCTCATCGACATCTTAACGAAGAAGAGCTAACGGATGCAAGGGAGAATTTGGCAAAAGAGGTACGTTAATAATAGCGAGAGAGAGAGAGAGAGAGAACTAGAAAGAGACGAAGATTATTGAAATTTCCAGGTACTGCAAGAAATCCCGATCCAACTGACCAGCTACATGAAGTCGCGCGGAATCTACCCCCTCAGCTACCGTAACGGAGCTTCTGAATTTACCCCTCAGCCACGAAGCACTGATTCTTCTGCTACATCGTCGCCCATGATCGTGAGTTTCTGGGATTTTTCTCTGGGATGCTTGGCCGGATTTTCGAAGCTTACACAAGTATTTTTTCCGCGCCCTTCTCAACCATTCAATTTCCGTAATTATCCCGCATGTACGATATCCGTTCCGTACAGGTTTCCTGGAACGCCTGGCACTGCCTGGCGCCTCTAAGCTCGTGCTAATCTCGCAATATGGAAATGGCGCGGTAGGAAGCGCTAAGCTTAAATGCGAGAAAATACCAGCAAAAATCGTAAACTGGGGATCACGGGGATCATTCAAAAATATGCGGACCATAGGTGTTCACGCTCGGAGGCTGTTGAAAATCATGTGCTGGCGGTGACTGTTTATAAAGGAATTGTGTCGGGAAAAAGAGTGAAAGGTGAAAGAGAGAGAAAGAGAGAGAGAGAGAGGAGAGAGAGAGCGATCTCAAGCTAATGCCCCATTTTGCAGTCGCCAAGACATACAACTGCTGAACGTCGCATCTCCCCTCTAGCGCGACTTGGCTCGGCTCAACCAACCGGAAGACCGATGAGCTATACCGATACTCCCCCGCTATCCGCTCCACCACTCTCCAACCAGCGTGAGTTATCTGAATTTATATCATGTCTAATTACCAAAAATCTGTTTTTTTTTGCATTGCTTAATAGGTTGGCTTTTTGCCAATTGTGGAGCGAGTCTGTTCGAATTCGCTGGAAAGGGAATATTTTTCTGGTTCCCCGTAATTCCGAAAAAGTGCGAAAAAAACGGGGGCCCACGGCAACATCCGTAGCCACTCAGCGTCAGAATTCCGATGAAAAATTCAACTTGCGCTTAGCAATGCCCGCGTTGTACGCTTTTCCGCCCCTATTTTCGGAGGGTGGAAGCAAGAAACGTTCTGCAGGAAGCGGATAGACTAGACTAGCAAAAATGGCACGGTTCTCAAACTCGGTAGAATAAAGATGTCTCGAAAAAATTTTTCCCGTTGATAATTAGGCGCTATATTCGTTTAAAATAAAAACTACATATTTGACAAAAGTCTAAAGTAATTTTAACCCCCAAAATGACTTCGATAGAGAAGAATTTTCAGGCTTTGGCAGCCCGTCCCGCGTTCGCCGACGACTACCGCAAATCCCCGGCGAGCAGCTCAACCAGATGCATATTTACTAATTTTTGCTACATTTTGTATTCTCTTCAGCCGAATTTCGCAATTTCTGCATTTTGTGAAACCGCCGAGATTTTTCAAATTGCATTTCCACCTGTGTTCCAACCGCTCATTCACTTAGCCCGGCCGCCCCTGCTACTCGAGGAAATCATGTGCGTGTTTTGGCAGTTTTCGCTGTATTTTGTGTCAATCCCTCCTTTTTTCTGGTCCGCTGAGGATAAAGATTTGATTACGGTAGCAAGGTGCTGCTTTCAAAATACGTGAAAGTAATAGATGCTATGAAAATCAAGAATTTTTCGGTGTCACGATTTTTTTTCAGGAGCATGTAACATGCTTTGCCTGTTTTACAACGTAATGGATCTACAAATTAAGAATTTCACTAGTTTACCATCTTTTTCGACGCGTTTTAACCTGCTTTGCCTGTTTTCCAAAGCAATGGATACTACAAATCAAGGATCTCACCTTTCCGATTTTTCGCAAGTGTTCGAACCGGTTGTGCATGTTTTCCAACATATACCTGTCCTCTAAAAACCACAAAATTTCACAAAATGGTTCTTTAAACCAAGAGAAGCCTATTTTCTGCAGATCAATCTCAACATGCAGATTAACTTTTTGACCCGAAACCCTTTAAAGCCAAAAGTTAATTGCGACCTTAAAAAAATCTGATACCGAAGCCAAATTTTGATGTTGACCAACAGCACCCCCCCCCTTATTATCGAAGCCGTATATAGCAACAAATCGTAGTGTATCCCCCATTCTCCAGGGGCCTGCAAATTTGCAAGTGGAACAGAAATTGGTCACTGACCGTTAGAATGTCAGCATCAACCCCGAAAAGTCATGGAATCAAACATCTACAAAGAATACCGTGGCTTACGGTAGCCGCAAAAAAAACAATAGGTACTGCCGGGTCCTCGTTCACGTGAACGGCAGGTGAAAAGAACGTGATAATTTGCCCTGGAAACTGGGAATAGTTTTTCTGCTCGCAACTTCAAAAAAAAAAACAAGAAAACGCGAGGAAATAATAAGTTCGGTTTAGGAGCAAGTAAGATCACGGCTTTAACCTTTACAAGCCTAAGCCTAAGCCCAATTTAAGCCTAAGCCTAAGCTTCTCTCTCTCACTCTCTCTCGCGCTTTTTTCGTCTTTTAGCTGTCCCCTCGTTAAATGACACGTTCAAAAGGTTGTTTTTCATGTACTTCCCGGGTGGGGGGGCGGGGGTGGCGATTTGCCCAATTTTCCGGCATTTAGATCCGGGTCCCCCGGTTGGCAGCGCCAAAAAACGGGTCAGACCCGCCGGGTAAAAACTTGGGTTCCGATTTTCCGCTCAACTAGCCGGGCCCCAAAATGGCACGGATTTCGCCACCCCCACACCCGGAAATGCATACTTTTTCTCGTCACATAATCGTGCCTCCTCTCTCTCGCTCTCTCTCTCTTTCTCTCGCTCTCTCTTGCTATCTTTCTCTAGCCCATTCACGAGCATCCAATCGTTCTATTTGGCGAGCTCGAGAGGGTGAGTAAGCTGTTGGTTTTTGAGTACATTTTTTTGTGGACGCCCAGGGTCGCCTAGTAACTTTTTCAACACAAACCTTTCCCAAAAAACCTCCCTCGCATGGCTAACCTTATCTAGAAAAAAAAACGGGTGGGGATTAGGGTCGTGGAGCACTGAAAAACGACCTTGCCACCGTATGACTCACAGAGTGGAGATGGAATCGGAGGGGACAGCCGGGAAGAAAAGAGCTGACGGTTTACGGTTGCTTTCATTCGGGGTGGAATGTTTCAAATCGAGGCGTCGATTTTCGAAACAAAGATCCGCCTCGAGCACGTGGGGTATCGGGGAACGAATGATCACGAGTGAAGAAGCTTGACTTTTCGATGATGCTACGAGGCGAACTTTTTGCAGCAGGGGATGTGACTAAATACGGGTCGCCAAAAGAATTAGACATAACTGATGCGACGAGCCGGGAAACTCGAACTGAACGTCATTTTTGCTCGAATCAGATGCTTGCACGATCCCTTTAAAGGCCGCCTCGGAAATCTTCTTTTAACTTGGCTCGTAGCTGAGCTGCAAAGCAAGCTCCCACTCGTGCAACCAGCCCATTTCCATGTTGCGAACCTTGCGTATCGTTTCGAATTGAAAGATCTGAATCGATCAAGTGACCCTGGACTGGCATAGAACCCGGGAGCCAGCGTTTCTCAGCAAAGTCAGAGTGTTTGACCTTCTGCCCGGGGTACGGTGGGTGACTAGGCTAGAGAGGTGAACCATGTGATAGGACTCTCGAACGGAAAAGGAAAGAATCAAAGCAAGATCAGGGTTGAGAGTGGCCTGGGTTTATCGCTTTTTCTGCTGCAAATTGCTAACTTAAAGCACGTTCTCTATCTCTCTCTCTCTCTCTCTCTCTCTCTCTCTCTCTCTCTCTCTCTCTCTCTCTCTCTTCCTCGATCTTGGCGTTTTGGCGTGAATTTCGAGCTCGGTTTTTCTTTTTTAAATTTATTAAAAACACCTCAATGTACAGCCTTACAAAAGTATAGATAAGAGCAAAGCTAAATTATACAAAAAGCACGTAGGGAGAGCACAGGTATTTACAGCATACCGGCACCAAATTCGAAATCCTAACAGCCGCCTAACAGAGGCAGGCTGGCCGGGGAGAAAATTGTGGCGCAAATTTGAGAATTTTCATCGAATCATGAATAAATTTAAGCTCGCGGAAAATCACAGAATTACAATAAAACTACTATTAGAATAATAAAGAGGAAAAACAAGGGCAAGGATCTTTTTCGGAGATCTGAAAGCATTAAAATTGCAAATAAAAGTCGCAAAAATAAGTAAAGCAAGCAAAATATAAAGCAAAAAGCGCGGAAAAATTCTATTTACAATTTAGCAACCAAATGGAAGCCGTTCTAGCTCATTGTCGGGGGTTCATCTGAAGTAGGGCATAGGTATCGGAATGGGTTAGAGATCGGGAAATCACATCAAATATCATAAAAAAGCATAAATCGCTAAAACAGAGGTAAGCAGGAAAATACAGCATTTTCACGGTATTTTGGGAGATCCATTTCTCGATTTTCCAACCGATTAGGACAGCTAAAAGAGTGGGTGGCACCAGCGGAAACTGGCGGGGTCGGAGGTACCCTAATGAAGACGGAATGCATATTAATTCAAGTATTTTTGAATTCGGGGTGAATTCGAATATTTTTTTGGTGTGGAGGCAAGCTCCTACTAATGCGCGGCCCAGTGGGCAATTCAAAATGCGGAAAGGGGGAATTTCAAAACCTAATTAAACGGTTCCCGTAAGGGCCAATGCAGGCAGTGCTCTAGGGGGAAGGCGCTGGGATTGAGAGGGGTTTTTGGGGTGTTATTTTGGCCATTACTAATTAAGGTGTACTACATTAATGTGATAGAGCCATTAGAAGTTAATATATAAGTATTAAATCATTGATATAACATTAAAAATCAGAAATTACAATATATCAGGGCTTTTTAGGAAGCTTTGGGAGGTTTTTTGAACCTTTTTAGGGATTTGAACAAAGTATCGAACGTTTTGGAGATATACGAAAACTAAACAAATTGAATAATATTAGAAAAAAGGGAAAATATACAAAACGGGGCTTTTTTGGGGTCATTCTTAACAGCTTAAGGTTACTGGCTGACTGCACTGTCCCTTTAAAGTCCCGTTGTTTAGGTTTGAAACGCGGAAAATCGCGTATTTTGGCGTCAGGTGGTATTGGGGCACCAAATAGTATTTTGGTATAAGATGGTAAAAGAATACCAAAGGTAAAGTCAAGCCGTACAGATCCAATCAAGCGTTCGTAGTCCGTTCCGTTCATCCATACTCATTTGCATCCACAGCTTTGCACAACCATGTTCCGAATCGTAGTCACCACAGCCGTGTTAGCTGCAAAAAATAATTTAGAGGGGCTTACTGTAGTTCTTCATATATCACCATCCTAATAAACACTACTGTAATTGTATACTGTATTTTTTAATATTTACCTAAAATTAATTTAGATTTTTTTTTTTTTTTTTTTTTGGAATGTTTTTAATAAACTGACACTTTTCGCGAGCCAACGTATTTCCAGATTTTATACTGTAACCCAAAAAAACCTAGGTTGTGTTTCAACTGTCCTAACTGCTGTTTGTTGTCATTTGCGAAAAAAATAATTCCCTTGCCGAGTCAAAGAAGCTCTGCTAGCACACCTATAACTAAGAAGCTATGGGAAATAAAGATTAAATCGGTCAAAACCCATTTTCCTACAACTCTATCGCGTAATTGAAACTCACATCCAGGTCCCTTGTGGAACAGCTTGAAGTCGCCGAGTTTGTCCGGGGCACAGCACATGTGTTGCGGCATCTTGATCTCCATGAAGCGGGCGTGCAGGGTCTTGGCCGATTGGCCTGGGCGGCAGCGGCCGGCGCAGTAGTAGGCAGTGTACTTGCTGGGGGCGATGACGAAGCCCCATTCGAAGTCCTTGAAGTCGATCTGGAAATGTGCTTGGTTAGCAAGCTAAAAGCCAAGCCTAAGCCTAAGCCTGGGCCTAAGCCTAGAAGCCTAAGTCTAAGCCTCAAGCTAAACTTGAGACAACTCACCTCGAGGTGGTAGCGGCAGCAGTAGGAATCCGGGTGCGACGGGTCGATGGTGCATATCTGGGAGCCGTTGTCGTGCTGTAGCTCACGGCGCTTGCGGAGGTTCGGCATTTGGACGACTTCGAGGAAGTACTGAAATCGACTTGGTTGACTTCGAAAACCGAAGCTCCTCGTTTCATTTGGCCTTCGAGGCGCAATCATTAATTCATAGGTATGTAGCTGCTCACCTGAGAGTTGTTGCTGTGGCGGTCGATCGGGTCGAAGAAGGCGACGCCATTGCCATCCGGGATGACCTTGACCTGCATGCCGTAGTTCGTATCCGGGTTGTTGATCCACTCGTTGATGATGTCGGTGACTTCGATCTGTTCCCACTGGTCGCCGTTCATCACGTGGTGCTGAAAATTGAACGGTAATTCGAGGTTTCACGCACGCGCTTTCTCTCTCTCACTCTATCTCTCTCTCTTGCCCTCTAGCTTCAAACACTTACCTTGGCAAAAACGATTTGTCCTTCAGTGGACACGGTGTTCTCGTCCAAATACTTGTTGACGTAGATGGTGAATTTCGACTTGCCGTCGTCGCCATTCATGTTCTGAAAATACAAATTTAAGCTTATACATCTAGGTAGTTTTTTAAAGTTTAAAGGTATAAAATCATACCTTAACAAAAACGTTCAGCATGGCGGTCTTGACTTCCGATTTCTGGGTGTGCTCGAGTTTGAAGTAGGTGCGGTGGTGTTGGTGGCGCCATTCTTGCGGGGCTGAAAGATGAGGCATATGTTTGGTATTCTAATTAGGCTCAAATTTTGCCCTTACGACACCTTTAAGCTAGATCTAACTCTTTAAATGATCAAAATTCCTACCTTTCGCAGCCGGGATGACAAACTGCGAGCTGAGAGCGGGGTTGGGTTGTCCGGACTGAAAAACATAGCTTGGAAAAGGATAAAGAAATTACTTCTGATAAATTTTCCAATAAGAAAAAAATGATTTGATTTAATGACAATTTACATAAATTATCCATAAAATCGAAACACAGTAAAGAATCAAATAACTGACGAATTCGCAATCTAAAAAGTCCCAAAAGCCTACATATCGTCCATCATTGCTAAATCCTTCGTTGGCGAGCAGTAGAGCCATTTGTTCGTGGCCCATGGGGAGCGTCATTTCCGTGTTCGAGGCATTGTTCATAGCAGCGAGAATTGTCTAGAAATGATCAATTTGGATGGAACATTGTGACTTTAATGTCTTCTATACCTTTAAAAGGATGGTGCAACGAAAAAAGCGTGGATACCTACCCGTTTCACCATCAGAGTTTCCTGCTCGCGCATAACACAGTGGAAGTGGAGGTGGGTCATCGTGATGTAGGAGCATTTTTGTCTAGAGAAATATGAATTAAACTGCAACTCGCCAGGCAGAGCGCGACAGAGCGAGAGAGCGAGGGAGAAAGAGAGAAAGAGAGTGAGTGGGAGAGAGCGGTAGAGAGAGAGCGGGAGGTAGATAGAGAGAGAAGGGAAGAAAACCCGAATGACCCCTATGAATGTGCTTTAGTATAACCCAAAAAGCGCCAATAATGGAATTTCAGGCGTTCAAAGAGTACATTAAAATAGTGGGAGCCTTCAATCGAAAAGTGGAGCGTAACGTACTAACAGCACCACAAAAATGTCGTTAGATTAAGTAAAAAGAAACTAATGGGGAAACATATTGGTCTATTTTCTTGGTATCTCAAAAATTTCCAATCAAAAGTTAATCCGAAGGTGCTACCAAAGATTTGCTATTTCGATACCTTTAGGTAATTTGATGACTGCATAAAAATATCCATAAAACCACAGCAGAATTTTTAGGCAACAGTCAAAGTATTTAGGATATGAGAAGGTATTTAGACAAGGAGAAAATATAACAAAGGCAACCGTCAAAAAAAAACTCACTCGATATATCGTTCTTCATCTGCAGTGAGTCCTTGAAATGTGTGCTGTTCCTGGTCGGCGTCGCAGGACTTTGTGGTGAGGAGGAGGGCGTAGAAGAGTAGGCCGAGGGCCAGCCGTGGCCTTGGCCACAGCCCGAACCTCGACATCGTAGATTGGGGTATGCCTGGAATATCGGCGGTGGATGGTTCTACTCCCAACCCGAAAAGCTTATATATCGAGGAGGGGGGTCAGGGGCTCGGCTGGATGCCACGCCCCCTTTAGGGGAGTTGGGGTGTGGCCGGGGGTACGGTAGTGGCCTGGTACATTTGAGGGCGAGAAAGTAGGGCGAGGATAGAGAACCCAGGGGAAGCAAGAAAAAGGTGGTCTTCTCTGGCCTCTTGCAAATCAAACCTTGCCCAAAATGGGCGGGCCCTTGAAGAGCAGGGGGCGTTGAGGCGCCGAGTAAATCGGAGAAATCAGAGAATACAATTTTGGGGTACGGTAGATCGGGGAGTACGTGAGGAAGGCAAGGTGGGATTCTACTGTACGATTTTTGAGGACATTTAGAATGCCTGAATTTTTGTAGGAAGGTTAACTGGCAAGGGTGCGGAATTCAGGTTTTAGATGATTTTTCACGAGCATTAATGTTCTACCCTTCTTAGAAGCGTTTGGCTGGATTTAAAAATCTTCACGGGGGTTATATGTACAAGGTGTTGTCTGTAGCTTCCTTGAAAATGCCAAATCTAGGCAGAAACGTCGCAATCAGAATTTTCCACTGCGCTTTCAAGTTTTCTGTAATCAAAAAAGCTCTCCGGAAAGCGCAACAAGTTCACGGCATCTGTTACTGCTACCCCTTGTTGTTTGCTAACATTCTCAAAAGACCAACACTCAAAAAATAGGACGCAAGACTACTCCAAGATTTCTGTTTCTGAAATAAAAAATATAAATCGCTCAATTTAGAAAGTTCTAAGAAAATTTTTGATGAAAGCCGATTCCGCTGACATCAGCCCACGGAAAACTTTGGGGAAATCGGCATTTCGCTGTAACACAATTTTTCATGTTTTTTTCCGGCTCAGCTCAGTCATTCTGGTTTTATTGACGGTAGCTTACAACTTGCATTTCCGAGAAATTCGAGGCAAATTGCTGAAAGTAAAATCTAGGCAACCTAAGCGCCTCAAACTACACCTACGCCACCTTTACCCCGCTATCATCATTTGGTTCAAAGGATCAGCGACGCCTGCGCGGTTAGGGTTTTCAGAGTACACAGCACTCCTAATTCCGATTCCGAGAGGTGGGATGTATCCCGGAATAGTCATTAGCCGGGAGTGAGAATCGCCGGATCATCCACACGCCATGATCTTTATCCCGAAATTGCCGCCTACTGCTTGCCGTTTGGGGCGCCATTTGCGCAATGGTTGGTGGTGGTGATTGGTATTGAGCACGAGGTGCGAGGCGGTTGTTTTTGGGCGCGCATCTCGGAATGAGATGGGGGAGCTAAGAATGGAAAACAAGGCTCAGATGCCGCGGGACACCTTTTAGAATACGGTACGAGTGCGTGGGACCTCGATTTTTGAGCCCGGGAGGTCGGGAATATTTTTATGACAAATATTACGATCTTTTGCGTAGGGGGATTTGGAGTTGACATGATGAATCTGGGGTACAAAAATTCAATCGAAACTTTTTTGACCAGGCGTTAGTTTTATAACTGTTTTTACATTTTGAAAGTTACGGTAGATATTAGACTCAAGAGCCTAGTCCTAAGCCTAATGGTAATGAAATAAGGTGCCGGCGATAATCCATTTTAATTCCGTCAAGAATAATTTTGTCGAAATCTCGTTGTGGAAATTTCGTTTTAACGAAATCTCGAAAACTAAATTTTGGCACAATGATTTTTGACGAGTGCAATTTCGGGAAGATAAAATTTTTGACAGGATCTTATTTAGACAAGTATATTTCGAAAAACGATTTTCGACAAAATGATATTTCGCCAGGAGGATTTTCGACGAGCTTATAGCACGACATATATTTTTTACGATTTACTTGCCATAGCCCCAGCATTGGCGTTTAAAATTAAAAAATTTAAATTGGCAGCATTTGCTTTCCACTGCCTTTCAGATCAAAATCTAGTCCAGACATTAAGCCCAAATCTCGGCTATGCCCAAAAGGTTCCATTACGCAACATTAATCCGAGTGGTCGGCGTGACGAATCCGCACCTAGTCTGCTCTCCTCTACAACCCCACCGTGTCATCATTGCCCATGGGAGCCGCGTGGAGTGTACCTCATCCACCTAAAATTATTCTTGGCACACTTGCTGGTCGTAGCTTGTGTCGTGGGATCGGTATGAAATGATACTTGACAAGGCTTTCCCACTGTGGTGTTAAAAAAATCGCAGACAAGTTCTTGACGATTTGGAACGGCGTACAAAATGTGTTTTTTGCTAGCAAGGTACACGCTATGTTCCCCAAAATCCTCAGCAAAACCTGAATTTACAAACCGTTGAGATCAGTGTACAAAAATTGTGGCCGGAGGTCGGGTCTAAGGTAGAGGCAAAACGCTTCCGGTCAAAGTCAAATAAGTTTTTGTTCGGAACCGGGCACTGTACCTGCTGTCTGGCGAACTTATAGGCTCTTATGAAAATTGACTGTAAATTAGGAGCAAACATCTGCAGCAAGGCTGGCAAAGCAAAGCACAAGGGTCGAGGGCCAGGCCGCGAACAACTAGTGTTACTCCATTTTGATAAGGCTAAAACGGGTAAATCCTGAAAAACTTCCCAAAGCTCTTTCTGGCCAAGCTGCAAATTCCTGGGTCCGCCGAGCAAAAGATGCAGAGAAACTATCGTTTTCTTTTCAGCGCAAAATTCCGCCCTGGTTGGGATTGGTTACACTTCAAACATCATCCAATCAGATGCGTTGCGCGGCAATGACACCGCGCAGCGGGCTGCTGCGCTGTCGTCCCTCTCGAATTCCGGGCTTTTTCATATCGCCCTTATCACGTTTTGTATGTCTCTTCCTATTTCAAACTTGTTCTTTTTTTGACGACCAGTTCACACCCAAGCAAAATCGATAGTCAAAAATCCGTCTCGACTGTATCAACTGCTCCAGACACGCGTTTTTCTCGTGGGTTCAATCTACAACCTTCCGAGCTTCTCGAGACAAAAGCGGGATTAATTTTTTCGACATCGGAGGCGTTCGAGGGTCCGTGAATTGCCCAATTATCCAAATGGATTATCACGGGGAACCAAGTGAACTCTTGAATGCAGAATGGGTGTAGGTGGCTCCCCGGCGAACGTCCCTAATCCTCATTTACAAAAAGTGCGGATGGACTAATGGATTTTCCGCGTTTTTTGGGGTCGTTCGGGTTCAGTTTCCGATACTCCGCATCCCTGCGTGAGTAATGGACGAAAAATTGTACATATGAATAACGCTGGATTCGGGATACAAAATGATATTATAATGCGATCTGTTAGTCATAGATTTATTCGGGAAGCGCGTTTGGTTTTTTCAGGAAAATGTGATTTGGATTTGCGTCAGTGCAAAAGCTATATTCTTATCATCACACACGGAACTGTCTGTTTCTTAAGTCTGACTGTTTTGCTAGGGAGTGATAGGTATAGAGAGAAAGAGAGAGAGAGAGAGAACAATTACTGCTGCGTTCCTTTGAACCTTCTCCAAAGCCTTACAACTTCTACCACTTGCAACCCGACTTCTCGGAAAAATTGCACCGCAAAAACTTGACGTTTTGCAAACCGACCTCCCAGGTAAACAAGTAAAAAACGTACAGTGACCTGACCCGACCTCCGGCAAACGTCTTGATGATCAGCCCCCGTCCTCGGATTTGCACTTTTTCACCACAGCCGGCCACTCCACTCAAAACGAAACGATTTTTACAGATTGCCCTTTTATTACTGTCCAGCACCGACATTAGACTGAGCCTCAGCCCGCAGTTTCCAATTCACGCAAATGCGCAGGCTAAAAACGGAAAAGATGTTTTCAATCATCCATTGTAAAAGATGTTCCGGTGAACTTAGTCTGGCAAAACACACACGCCTTGGCTACACCTCGATTGGAACATTTGACTTTACACACCAATCGTAGAACAGCGGCAAAATAACGGCTACGCGCTGTCCTTTGATCCCCTGGGACGGCGGAGACGTTCCTGCTCTAGCAACGTAATATTTCACGTTCACCGAAATACGCATTCTTTAGAAAATATGCTTGAAAAGGGAGGAACCCCAGAAATTGGGCTGCCCGTCGGGAGTTATCGCCTTCCGGAAATAAAACGACATTTGTAGAAAGTGTTTTGTGTTCTGGGAAAAACGGGGTGGGTTTTGGTGCGTCCGGCGGCTCTGGTGAGCGGGGCTCTGTGGAAAGTGATGAGCCCTGAAATCCTAAAATTTCATATAGGGATCGTTGTAGGGATTTAAGCTTGTGCGCCTAGAGATTTTTACCAGACTGTCGATGAGCCGAAATGCCGACGGCGAAAATTCTAGATTACTATCGTAGTAAATTTCTCATCCAAGCGTGCCTCGTCATTATAGCTATCGATATTTCGTTCAGTGCCGATTTTTTTACCTTGTTAGATAAACGCCACATATCAATCAACTCCTTCCGGTACACACTACCCTCCCGGAAATGCCTCAAAGCTTAATCGCCAAAAAAACTTCATCGTCAAATCGGCACGGCTTTTTACCTTGATACCGCCACACACCGCTTGACACCGCGTTTCCTGATTCCTCAATTTTTCTGATCAAATGTACATCCGGCGGGCAAACGCGGATCACCCACCGCCGGCTAAAATCGCTAATCCGATCATCAATTTACCGGGGGCCAGATTCAGCCTACGCTGGAGGCGCTAATACCGCGTTTTTACGGAGGTACCGTAGGGGGCTCAGCCAATTAATCGGGCAGATGCACTTTTTGCCGGTGTCCCGGGATCAACTACTGTCACCTGGCTTACCGGGCGGAGCTGAGTAATGGCTGATGAACTTGGGCGTTCATTTGCGCTACAGTAGTCATTTCCGTTACCTACTGGTAGTCAACACACTAAAAAGAGGTTGCGAGAGTTCTAGGTATATAACAAGGTGCAAGAAACACTAATTGCCACACACAGCTTGCCTATAATTATCCTTAACAAAAATATTTACACTGAATCTACGATCCTCGCAAGCCTTGTAGTGAAATCAGGGTCACCAACCCACCTCAAACAATTAATGCCCAAAAGCAAAAAAGCGAATTTCAGCTCTCCGGCTCATCGATTACTACAGCTACAGTAACCCTCATCAACTCCATTTTTCCGTCGACTCGGAACACGCGACCCGGCATCTACACTACAGGCCCGGCGAGCAATTCGCGGTGGGATCTCCCAGGGGCCCTAATTAAGGCACCGTAAAAAGCAGCTCGTACGCGTGGGGCTTCCCTGCCATGATGCCGCGCAAAACGGCGAAAAAATACCCACGCACTTTACGATCCTGTGCTTTTTAGTAGGGGAAAGGGGATGGGGATTGAACTCTTGGTTGCGTGAGATTCTTGTTTGGAAGGTGCAAATTGAGAGTGGAACACTAGTCGTTTGACCCTGGTAATTATCGCCAGCATACAGATTCTAAAAGAAGAACCATTCCGACCTTTGACTAAATTTTACTATCCGGTAGTAGACGTCATAGGAAATGTGAAGTGACGAGCAATTGAACGGTAAACTGCGAAACGACCAAACATCCGGCTGAAACTCGACTACGCATTCGAAACATACTCTATCAAACAGATCTGCATGTCGAAACTACAAAAGTCTCAGCCGCCGGTGCCTAAGCACCAGCCAAGCAACTGCCAGTTTTCCAGAGCCGCCAATTAGGGCATAAGAAAAAGTTTGCTCCTCGCATTTCAAGGAAAAACATCGAAAGATTCGAAATGTAAAAAATTTGCCGTCCCAGCGTGCCAATTAAATCTAGTCCAGTTTTGTAGCCAGCTGGAACCCCCAAAACTGACCCCGGCAAAAAAAAGAGGAAAAATTATACCATGACCCTCGAAAAACCCGCCGGATACAATGGCTAGGTGAAAAATCTGGTCGCTTCGAACTTCGAGCGAGCGGAGAAATAGAACTATGGCTACGGTAGCTGCTACGAAGGCCATTCCTTCATGTTTTTCTCGTGATAAAAGACCTCAGGTTACTGTATTAACCGCGTTGAACAGGTGCTTGTGGAAGTTAACCAAAAATTTGCACCTGTCAGTTTGTCACTCAGGAAAGGCAATGGCGGGCAGGCAAACCGTCTACCGTAAATGTATATTTTTCTTTCCTGGCTTTTCATTTCATGCTAGGTAGGGAAAAAGCTGCAAACCAATAAGCTAACTAAACGGCGCGGATGGCGTTTGGTTCCTGGTGCAAGAAAAAAAAATGCTTGAAGACCGAAGCTATCTGAGGAATCCTTGGGAGTGTAGGCCACTAAGAAGGAAAATTGGAAACGATGGGCTACCGCGGCCTGCTTTCACGAAATACAATAGAACAAACTGATGCTGAAAGCTAAACGAATCTTTACAAACGATTTGCACGGCCCGGCAAGTTTAGCCGGTTAGGCGACCGTACGCGGCGCTCCTATGCACCGATGCAAGTGCGCGCCTACAGCCCTCTGTTATTCTCCTTTGCTTGCTTCAAATTTTTCAAAGCTTTCTTCAAAGTTTCGTTGTTGCGTTTACTCGCTGTTGGTTTATTGTATTGTTCATATAGTAGCTATATTTTTCTGTTTAGATATTATTTTATGACGATGAAAAGCGCCCGCCGTTTTTCGAGCCTTGGCAACCCAGTTCGCATTATTGTGTTTTCCAGGCATTTCTTGTTGTTTTCGCATACTTTTTTCTATCCCCAACCTTCTGGGAACAAATTCCATGACAATGCGCGTATTTTCCAGGGCACCCCCGCAAATCCTCCATTCAATGGGCACCATCTTGGCAGCGACCCAAAGCAAATGACGAAAAACGCCCGGCGGCACAAAAATAATTCCGCAAATGGCGGGGTGCCAAGAACATGAATGGCCCCGCAGGAAGAACGTAAACAAGTTTGGAACGGAGTGGCGGACGTAGCGAAATAAAATCTTGCGCGGGACCAGCATTGCATCATTGGCCGGTGATCGCAAGCGATTGTTGCCAACCAGATTTATGTTTGAAGGCTGTGAGAAAATTTCCTATGCGTTGTTGAGTCAGGGGTCTTTGTTAAGCCGAATATCAAAATAGGTTATTAAAGGGCTTATAATGCTTGCGTTTCTATGTTCGGACTTGAAGAGATCAGAAAATGATCGTCTTAGTTGTTTCATAGGCACTAAGAAAATATTTTTTGGGTTCTTCTGGAGTCGAGAGAGGATGATCTTTTACGCTACACTCTAGATAACGCACATATTGTGAAAGGACTGTTCCCTGGGGCCGGATATGCCCATCACCTTGCCCCAGACCCGGATATCGCGAAAAAGTAGTAAATCCGTCCTAGCGTCGAAGCAGGCCTGGGAATTTGGCGGGCCGGCCCGGGCCGGCCCGGGCCGGCCCGGGCCGGGCCGGGCCAGGGCCGAGATTTTCGGGATTTTAGGCTGGCGGGCCGGCCCGGGCCGGCCCGTCAAATATGGAGGGCCGGCCCGGCCGCGGGCGGCCCGCCACCTTGCCAATAAGTTATTTTGAGTTTAAATGAGGTAATTTAATTACATTATAAGTTTTCCTTATTGATATTCAACTTAAATCATCTGTTTAAACAGTTAAAAGTAAAAAAATCCGAGTTTTGGCTTAACTTTGATTTATCAGGAAAACGACCCGGGTTCGATCCCGGCCGAGGTCAATCTTTTGCTTTTTGCTTTTTTTGGCCGGAAATGTTCAGAAATGCTGGGAATATGCCTTGTTAGCCTTATTAAGTGTATTAGCGTTCAAACTACACGTGGACGTCAAAGAAATTGAACTCCACTAAGTAAAACAGACTTTTTTCTATTGAACTAAAGATGTAATGGTTGTATACTGCTTTATGAATAAATTCTCGTTACATACCATACCTAAATCGGTTGTGCAAGCCTATAGACAATTAACGGACTTGATCTAACACGTTTTTGTGACTCCGGAAAAATTAAATGATGGCATATACTGGTTTGGTAAAAATGTACCCAAAATGTCGGGCTGGCCGGCCCGGGCCGGCCCGGGCCGCGGGCCGAAAAATTGGCTGCGGGCCGGCCCGGGCCGGGCCGGGCCGGGCCGAGAAAAATGGGCTGGCGGGCCGGCCCGGGCCGGCCCGGGCCGGCCCATTCCCAGGCCTGCGTCGAAGTAGGTGATCTCAAATCGCCTCCAAATTAAAGGCTTTGAACTTATCGTCGTTTCTATGACGCGACAGGAAAATTCAATGAAGCTCGCGTAAGAAGCGCCTAAAGAATTTCTTTGATTTTTAGAATTGTTCCAGATCCAAAATAACTTTTGCATAGAAGCGGATGTCCCTGACTTACGGTAGCTTCCAGGAACTATTCCTCTTCTTTCGGGGAAATTCCTCGTGACGCAATACTCAGGAAAAACGTGTAATCGCATAGCCTTAATTGCTAGTCGCTCGGCCATTCGGACCTAAATTTGGGATGGGAAAAGGGGCCTCCTAAAAATCAGTTACCAACCCGGTTGGTTTTCCAACGGGGCCGTGTGATCGTAATATGAAGTATAAGTGCGTGTTCGAAGTACTAATGTCAATCTCCTAAGTTTTGACGTTTTCACTATGCCACAGTTGGGGTGTCGTTAGAAAGGGCTGATCGAAAGAAGTTTCAAATGGGCTGCCAAGCTATGGATGAGGAAAATTACTATATTTAATGTGGCCACCAAGGTCTTTCACGGTGTCCAAAATGAAGCTTGCTCTACAGGCCCCAAACCCCTGAATAAACCCCAACATCATAATAGCGGCGCTGCCATGTACGAGCATGCCAAGTTCCGGCTTCACGGCTAAAGGGTGGAAGCGTTTCCGGTATTCCTAATTTAGTTTTTTGCGCACTAAGCGTGTCGCGCAAATCCGCTGGATCGGTGCCAAAGCACCTGACCGGTGGAAACTGCTCTCAAAGATTAACCATGTGAGCATGGTCGTGGGTTGAAAACCGCCCTTAATCCCTTGTTTTGCGGGCTTAGAAAATTGGATCAAAAAAGGCCTGCGATGCTCCAATGAAACAAGGGGGACGGAAATAGCTGGGAATTGCGGAATTTGATGGAATAA